AATTAAAAGAGGAGTTTTTTGGTCTTTTCTCTTAATACCTCCCTACACAACCCATTGTAGTATATAAAGGTTATCAATCCAATCCAGAGGCTAAAGAACAATCAAGAAACATAAAACTTGCTAAGCTAGGCCTAATCAAATAAGAGGGGTTTGAAGCTAACAACCTAAGGTGAACAAAGAAGAAGACAAAGGAATAAGAAAGCTAACAACCTAAAACAATAAATGCAAACTAGAAAACAGAAATTCAAGGCTAGATTATTTACAATGTGAATCCAAATCAAGAACAAGGCTTTCAAGCATAGATCAATGCATTAAACTCTAAGCAAGGACCATTAATATAGACTAACCCAATCCATTAGCGCTAATCCCTTTGACTAATCATACTCATGTCCCACTTTCGATGGTGGAAACACAATCAGCAAGCTTTCAATCACAAAGTCTATTAAGCCAAAAAAGCAACTTAGAAAACTACTCCCTTAGGCTAAGATCACTAATCTCTTGTGCAATAGATCAAACATCAACTCACAATATCATGCACAATCAATGTCTAATGACAATTTCTCAATCCCTAAAGTACTTTAGCATTAAACTCAATCATGCAAAAAATGATAGATGCAATGATTCATGACAATCAATACACCATTTTCTAGAAATGAACCTCATTCAAACATTTCATCAAACACCTTAGCGGCAATAAAATGTCTTGGATATTTTTCTCATAAATGGAGATACTAGGCTTTAACACCAATCACACAAGAAGAGTTAATCAAATATCTAATACCCTAATCATCCTTAAGTATAAAAGAAAACACTTTTTCTCACCAAAAATCAAGAACCTCTAAAATTAAACTCAATAGCAAAATTCAAAATTGACAAAAGCAAGATAAATAAGAAGACAAGACTTAGAGATTGGAAGACTAAAGATTAAGAGAAGAAAACATTAAACAAAAATATATACAATGATCCAGTCTCATCCCACAAAAGGATTGTTCTTGTTCTTTGAAAAACCAAAGCAAAGCTTTGGTAGAAGAGAAAGGATGGATAAAAAGAGTCTAGGTCTAAGCTATTTATAGGAAGAGTCCCCAAAATAACATAAACCACTAAAAACAAGAAAATCAAAAACTGGTCAACACTTTCCTCAGATAAGTCCATATCGTGGAGGGACAGAGTATCCTTGATCGGTACGCATGCTCGGTGCGTACTGATGCACATTCAGGGTGCTCTGGCTCGGCTGTCTCGATTCAGGATACACCAAGCAGTACATGATGTGCCCTGGTCGGTGTGCTTGCTCGGTATGTCCTGCTCTCCAAATCGTGCATGGCCCTCGGCGTACGACATGTTATCGTCGGTACAATAGCCTCAGAGCTGTTCCCTCCGTCAGTGGTGCATGTGTACCGAGCAGAGCTGAAGATGATTTCCACGGTACGGTCGATGGTATGATCGCCCTCGTGCAGAGTCCTCGGCGTACAGACTGGCTGTGCACGGTATAACCTGAGGCTGCTCATACCATGGAGAGACAGAGTAGCCCTCCATGGTGCATCTCCAAGGTGCAGGTTCTGGACGAGCTTTTCCTGATCTTTCAGCTTGGTTCTCCCTTGTCCAAGCCATTCACCGTCCTCCAATATGTCTTCTTAGCTCCAAAGACACCTGAAATAGACTCAAAACAATACAAAACATGCAATATCTAATCTAAAATCTATTATGTCTAATATAAATGCAAAAGAGACAAAATAAGATGAATGAATGCATGAAAAGAACCAAAATCTAAATTAAATACAAACTAAAACATGGTTAAATATTAGATTATCATTATCCAGTTAATACCCGAACTCTTAATAAAACAAGTTCGGGAAGTTTATATAGATCATCAATACAACAAACACAAAAATCAGTATTTCGACACATCATATCTGCTTTTTTTTGTTGCGAGAAGTTGACATCTAATAAAAAAAGTTATATTTTAAAAATAAAATAAATCAAAATATTAATACACAATCAGATTTAATTTGAGTGATTTTCATAAATAATCACTTTGGTGTAACTCACTTATTATTTTGTAAACAGACGAGTTTGTTTTAAAAATATAATATGTTACTTATTTATATGAAACTTTTGTTCTTATGTTGTATTAGAACTTTTACATGTTTGAATGTTTAGTTGTAATTTTTTTAAACCAAACTATTGTATTATTTAGAAATATTTATTTCTTATGATAAAAGTGTATATAATTTTTAGTAAAAATATAATTTATTCATTAATTTATATATTTTCTTAATAAATATTTTTTTAGTAAAATAAAAGAAGAACTTGAAGATTCTAAGATAAACACGAGAACACAGATCTAAAGATGATTTTTTATTATTGTTATTTTGTTACGCTTTTGATCAAGTGTTTTGCTAAGTTTTTCAGGCGTCCTTTTTACAATAGATTATGTATCATATTTATACATATATCTCTACAACCCTTTGCGGCAATCTCAGTGAGTATAGTCATAGATTTCTTTCTATTTCTCTTTTACGGATCTCCCTTCCGCAAGGCTAAGTCCTTCTATGGCAAATTCTGCTTTTAAATGTCCAAAGCTTCGTCACTCGATCATGTGATCTCTAAGCTCTATTTAAGATCATTTACCAGCCGAGCTGGAGATCTTTTAATGGAGCTGGGTGCTGGTGTAGAGTTGGCCACTGCTGCAATTCCACACCTTTTTCTTCCACTAGCTTGTGCTGCTAATGTTGTTAAGGAATTTGTCAATTGTTTTTATCGTTTAACATGTTGTGTGCTTGGAAATTATCCCTTTGCTTTGCTATTAATTGTTTATGTTTTGTTGCATTAGAATCCTACATTGTTTTACTACAGAATGTTGCAGTTGTAGCATTGACGTCTACTCGAACACCAATTTATAAAGCCTTTGCTAAAGGAGAGAACATTAGAGATGTCAATGCTAAAGTGTGTTGGTAATACTGCTGACCTGGTATGAGACTTTTGAGCATCTGTTCTCATTATTTCTAGGGTGTTTTATTGGTGTTCTCTGTCAAGAGGAATGAAAGATGGACTTTTTGAAGCAACATTGTCGCGTGTTGATGTTATTAAGTGCATATTGTATCATGTTTGTCAGAGATAGGTTATTAATCTTCTTCTTGAGTTCTAAAATTGTTTTCGTATGTTATGATTGATTTTTTTGTTTTTGTGTGTGTAGATGGCACTGGGTTTCATATCTTGATATCCAAAATAAATCCTTCGTTGGTCACAACCTTTGGTCTTGTATCATGTGACTATCTTATAAGCTCATACCAAGAGGTAGAATGCAGCTCCATGTTTAATATATCTATTGTAATGCACCTAGGGCCTGGATTTTTTTCAAAAATGTGGCTTGTTTTTCTTTCAGGTTAGATCTGTTGTATTGCATACACTAAGTCGTGCGAGGTTAACAGTAGTAGTGGAGTCTTTCTCAAAACGGGTAAACTATGATTGTGTTTCAGGATGCACATGAGTGTGCTCTTATAGATTTTGTTTCCCACATCCAATTTCTTTTGAGGTTAGTCACATTCAAACTTTACAAACTGAACTTTCCTTCTATCTGCAGGGCGGGTTTCCTCACTGAAAGAAGGTAATATCCAAGAAAAGATATTCACTTTACCATGGGTGCAGGATCAGTCAGTGATGCTTGGTACGTGTTGTATAACATTTCGTTGAAGCTATGTTTTTTTCTCTAACCTCACTGAAATGGATATTCATACTATATGACATGAGCCAGAGTTAAGGATTCATTCCAAGATCCCAACACATATCTTTCAATAAAACCTTTTTTTGACGTATGTATTTTTTCCCCTTGTGTCTGACATCAAGCTCGGACCTTTTATTCTCCATAGTCGACTTTACTCTCTCTACTTATTGCAGAAATAAAGATACATGGTGACATACATCTATACCAAGGGTAAAGTCTATGCACTGCTCAAGCATCAGGCAAACTCAGATGACATTCTCAAAGCGGCTGTTCATGTACAATAATTTTCAATCCTGTTACACATCTCTATTCTGTAGAGATGAATTAATTATAGCCTAAAGTTTCTCATTTGGTTGCATGGTAATATCACAAGCACATATGCTTCTTCATTTCATGAATCAATCAAAAGTTGGTACCCTAAAATCAGTGGAACAACCAGATCCTGTTTTTGCTCCTATGGACTAAGAACTCGAGTCTCAAATCGCTGAGTCATGTGAAATGGTTTCTACTTCGTATGGCATATTCAAAAGCAAGGCTGTAGAACAGGTAATGCAAAAATTCGTATACTAGACGGTTTTATTATATTTACAAAATATCATTTGGTAATGGCAAAGGGAGTTTCTACTTTGTTAAGGTTGGAGAATGTCAGAATCTCTGCTTAATCCTAGACGGGCTAGATTATGTCATTTGAAGAAGAGATGGAGTAAACAATGCCCTCCACCTGAATCGGTTTTAATAATAAATTACTCAATACTAAATTTTGTTGTTTTGGTTTCATGAGCAAAAGAAATGAAACAATATTGGGTCGATACACGTTTTACAAACCATGCTGTAAAAATAAAATGATATTATGTAGCATTTTACTTTGTGACTTTTGTCGAGTTTTAAAGTTTGTAATTTGTATTAACATTAAATTTTTTATAGCTGTTTATGTTATGTTTTCAACAACTATTGTCATGTTATTTTTATATTTAACATTTTGAACAGTTTATGTTATACTTTTTATATTTAAATTTATTTTCCTCTATTTAAAACTATATAATATATTTATTATATAATTTTTTACTAATTAGTTAATTCACGGTTGACTCGGATCAATCCAATCCAGATAAACTCAGAAACTAAATGACTTGATAGACATTCTGATTTTATTTCTGGATCGGATTTTAAAACATTAATAAAAACTTCTTGTTTTATTATGTTCTCATTTTAAGTAAAAAAACCTTTAATTAAAACTAGATTTTGTATCCACGCATATGAAAAATGAAGTTTAAAATATATTTACTTAATAGTTATATGATTTATTTAATAGTTACATGATATAACAATATGGAACATTATAAGGTGAGAATAATATTACACAAACAAGATCTGTTAAATTACACCAATGTAAAGTGCTACCCACAATTTAAAAATGATACATACTATCATTTTATTTTTACAGTATGATTCGTAAAACGTGTATCAATCTAATGTTGGTTTCATTTCTTTTGCTGAGAAAACCAAAACAACAAAGTTTAGTATTGAGTAATTTATTATCAAAACCGATTCAGGTCCACGGCATTGTTTACTCCATCTCTTCATTCCAATGACATAATCTAGCCCGTCCAGGATTAAGCAGAGATTCTGACATTCTCCAACCCTAACAAAGTAGAACTCCCTTTACCATTGCTAAATAATATTTTGTAAATATAATAAAACAATATAATGTAAAGATTTTCGCCTTACCTGTTCTGCAGCCTTGCTTTTGAATATGTCATACGAGGTAGAAACTATTTCACATGACTCAGCGATTCGAGACTCGAATTCATAGTCCATAGGAGCAAAAACAGGATCTGGTTGTTCCAATGATTTTGGGGTACCAACTTTTGATTGATTCATGAATTGAAGAAGTACATGTGCCTGTGATATTATCATGCAACCAAATGAGAAACTTTAGGCTATAATTAATTAATCTCTTACGGAATAGAGATGTGTAACAGAATTGAAAATTATCGTACATGAAAAGCCGCTTTGAGAATGTCATCCGAATTTGCCTGATGCTTGAGCAGTGCATAGACTTTACCCTTGGTATGGTTGTATGTCACCATGTATCTTTCTTTCTGCAATAAGTAGAGAGAGTAAAGTCAACTATGAAGAATAAAAAGTCAGAGCTTAATGTTAGACATAAGGGAAAAAATACATACGTCAAAAAAAGGTTTTACTGCAAGATATGTGCTCGGATCTTGGAATGCATCTTTAAATTTGGCTCCTGTCATATAGTATGAATATTCATTTCAGTGAAGTTGAGAGAAAAAAAAAACATAGCTTCAATGAAATGCTATACAACATGTACCAAGCATCACTGACTGATCCTGCACCCATGGTAAAGTGAATATCTTTTCTTGGATATTGCCTTCCTGTAGTGAGGAAACCCTCCCTGCAGATAAAAGAAAAGTTCAGTTTGTAAAGTTTCAATGTGACTAACCTCGAAAGAAATTGGATGTGGGAAACAAAAGCTATAAGAGATCATAGCTCACCCGTTTGGAGAAAAGACTCCACTGCTACTGTAAATCTCGCACGGTTTAGTGTATGCAATACTACAGATCTAACCTGACAGAAAAACAAACCACATTTTGAACAAAATCCAGAAAACCCTAAATGTATTACAATAGATATATTAAACATGAAGCTGCATTCTACCTCTTGGTATGAGCTTATAAGATAGCCACATGATAGAAGACCAAAGGTTGTGACCAACGAAGGATTTTTTTTGGATATCAAAATACTAAATCCAGTGCCCATCTTCATGCACAATAACAAAAAAACAATCATAACAAATCAAAACAATTTTAGAACTCAAGCCGAAGATCAATAACCTATCTCCGACAAACATGATACAATAAGCACTAAATAACATCAGCAGGCGACAATGTTGCTTCTGAAAGTCTATCTTTCATTCCTTTTGATCAATAAAACACCCTAATAATGACAACAGATGCTCAAAAGTGTCATACCAGGTCTGCAATATTACCAACACACTCTCCTTTAGCAGTGACATCTCCAATGTTCTCTCCTTTAGCAAAGGCTTTATAGATTGGTGTTCGAGTAGACGTCGATGTTACAGCTGCAACATTCTGTAATAAAACAATGTATGATATAAAACAATAATCTAATACAATAAAACATAAACAATTTATAGGAAAGCAAAGGGATAATTCTAAAGCACACAACGTGTTAAACAATAAAGACAATTGACAAATACCTTAACAACATTAGCAGCACAAGCTAGTGGAAGAAAGAGGTGTGGAACTGCAGCAGTGGCCAACTCTACACCAGCACCCAGCTCCATTAAAAGATCTCCAGCAAACCGTAACTGTTAATTCAAAGTAAGTTAGAAGGTAAGAGTCACCAATGCATTCGTTAGGTTTTCAAGCAAGTACCTGCTTCAAATCATAATCGAATTTTTTTCCCTGCCGTGCGAAAAGCATTTTTCCAACACGCCCAGCACCATCCTGCAAGGATTTTTATATATTTATTCATCAACGAGTAAGCCATGTCATGGGAAAGTTTTGTATACTTTTGCAACACTTTAAAAGAGTTTCCGGTTGTAATGTAATTGAACACATGCATAAAAAAGGAATTTGCAAAAATGCAATAATTCATAAATGAAAATTAACCTTGAGAATCCAATTGATGGCAACAGCAGCAGAAGCAGAACTGTTTCTTGATGCTCCAACTGAATTCAAAAGTGTTTGAGTTGTAAACACACCCATGGCTCCACCAAAGAAATGCTAAAACAATAGCAAATCAAAAAAATTCAGTACACATAACATATTCTAAGGACTTCAAATAAGATGAAGAATCATTCATACCTTCAAAGCTCTAAATGTCATGTAAGGAACATAAGATTCATTAACACTTTCTGGAAATCCTTCGGGTACAACATAAGATCTGAGAAACGAACCTACTTCCTACAAAAGGACAAAAAAATCGATACATTTCCTTCAATTTATAAACAGAGCTTCACTAATTAGCAAGAAAAATCAAAGAGAGATATGAAGAAAAAGGTAATATCCATGGAACCTGACATACATCAAAAGGAGTCTTAGGAGATTCCAAACTTATAGCACGGACGGAATTCTTCTTGAATCTCCCAAAACCATCGCTCTCGGCAAAGTATTTCCATCTTTGACCATCGATTTCCTCGCAGCAGATCAATTTCAGAGTTGAATGAAGAAAGTGAGAATCGGGAAGAGATTGTGGAGATGGAGGAAAGAGATCATCAGGAGGGGAGACGAGAGAGGCACTGATGCGAAGGGTTTCCCGGGAAAGGAGGCGGACGGAGTCGGCAGAGGAGGAGGAGGAAAGGGTGTCAGGTGAAGAATGTTTAAGCTTCTCGCCCGGCATTGTTGCAAAGCTTATGAAAAATCGAGGAAAGCGCTTTAATGGAGGAAGAAAGAAAAAAGGTCTCTCAGACGGAGGAAACGATGAATCGAAACTAGCTGTGTTTCCACTTGTAGCTACAATATACCAAAACTTTAGTTATATATTTATCTGAAATTCCACAACATAATTGTCAATTCCAAACTATCAAACAACAAACTCTTCACCATGTAACTACAAAACTCTGCCTTATGCTCTCAAAACATGATCCAAACTTCAATTTGTAATATAAAGAACACAAATTGCAAGCTTAGTCCATTATCTTCTAGGCAACAAAGGACACAAATTGCAACAACAAAACAATGACATTACGAGAGTTCAAAAGTTTCCATACATGTTTTTTTCTTCCTCAACCTAAAATCTAAATGCAAGATCAATCATCCATACGTAAAGCAGCAGAGCATATGGAAATGGCATGTACCTTAATGGAAATGGCAATTACTAAAATATGAGTTTAGAGAGGAAGATACTTACATCAATACCAGGAACGGTTGTCATTGTAACTCTGAAGAAGTGCCAGCAACTATCTACAAGAAGTAAGAGTGAGTGATGAGACTACCATGAGCAAACTTCAAATCACTAAACAAAGTAAACGAAAGATCTACAGTATTGCACACAACTATCCTGAAGCACACAAAAGATCGTGAAGCACACAAAACATTCACATGCCTAGGCACAAAGCAAATCCACAAACCCCAAACAAGCAAACCTATAAAAACTAAGTTTTAAGCATAAGAATTTCATAACAAAAGCAAAGCTGACTCAACGGCTTCTCTACTTGCAAAACTCGCAAACTCATAAAAGGCTTTCTCTCAACTTTAACCAATCGTCCCGAGAGCATGTAACAAGTCATACGTTAGATTAGCATAACAAATCATTCTCAAAACGAAACAGAGCAATGCTAATTTTGGTTTACCAAAAACCTTAACTCGGAAGACAAAGTTAACAAACCAAAAACTAAGGCAAAACTTCAATCACCAAATCCTTTGCTAAACTTCAATCATCAAATCCTAAGCTAAAACCATCAATTCGATTTTACTGCTATAAAAGTTGTAACCGGATCAAAGCAAAAAAAAACCAGAGAGGAAATGATGAACAAACATCAATCCTAAGCCAAAATCCTAAGCAAGCCAAAATCAAAGCAAAATCAGCAAACCCAGTATGGTACAAAGAAAATACAGCGCAAACCCAGGTCAAAGCAATCTCAGGAAACCCAATACGATACCAAGCAAAATCAGTAAACCCAGATCAAAGCAATTTCAGCAAATCCAGAGCAAAACCCAGAGAACACCGAAGCAAAGAGAGAGAAGCTCACCTGTGTAAGAGACTCGCCGGAAAAGTCGGAAAAGAGAGAGAGAAGACGGCAGCGCGTCAGAGAGAGTAGAGAGCGGAGAAAGTGAGAGAGAAGAGCGACGTCGGAGTGATCGAGAGTCGGAGAGTTCGCATTTAGTTTATAGTCGTAATTGTTGATTTATGTTAGGGATATTTTCGTCATTTTCTATTATTAATCGGATCATCTTCAACTAACTGAGCTAAATCGGTTAGAATTTTTTTTTTTTTTTTTACAACGAAAACCTCCATTAATTAAATTTCTGGTAAAACAGGTTAGTCTTAAAGATTAGTCAAGTTGGAATCTGCGAGCTTACATGGGCAAAAGTACAACCTCAAAACCGTGCAGTTTTTGCCAGCGCATCAGCTCAGATGTTTAAACTATGTAATATATAAAATATAGAAAACTTCGAAAACAGAGAATACAGATATGTGTATTCATCAACTTCCGATGCGAAAATTGGATCTTCCTCCTCCTTTTCGATAATTTTGAGCAGCTGTAAATAGTCCGTTTGAAAATGGATATTTGAAATGTCATTACTGTGGATTATCTTCATCGCTCATAATAAGGTTTCGAATTCAGCCGAAAGAGGTGAGTGTACCGGTTTTTCTGCAAAAGATCCCATTAGCTGTGGTATACCCCGTTAGAGGAGCACCAAACCGCCCCCAAAGTTTTGAGCCGTGCTTACCCATGATGCATCAATTTGACAGTAGTTTTCATTACCTAAAAAAACCATAATGTTACAATCTAGTGCTGTGGGTATTACTTCATCACTTGTCATTGCTACTCGATTGGCCATCCACTACAACTCTTCTTCTTGACTCCCAATATTTAAGGAATCTACCGGTGAGACATCCTTCCCGTTGAATAATTTCTCATTGCGAGCTTTTCAGAGATACCAGGGGATCTACGGGAATGAGCAGGAGAAATTCTCATTGCTGCTTGGATTCAATACATCCGACAAGAGGTAATGCATATTGTTGAAAACCAACTCACACTGAAATATCTCCGAAACACTTGGGATAGGCGACATTGCCCACGTTTGAAGAGCCGGGGGCATTTGAAAAACAGATGGTTGATCGATTCATCCTCGAAACCACAGCGAGGGCATGATCTATCGTTTCTGTAATGTCTATCCGCTAGTCTTCCACCTATTGTGATACATCCTGATATGATTTGCCACATTATATGCTTAATCTTTCTCGATGTTCTAATCTTACACACTCTGCTCTTTAGGATCGTGGTGCTTGGTTCCAGAACCTCTCCCCCACTCCTCAATTTCTCTGTATCGCATGCCAACTCGTAACCAGTCTTCACCGAGTAATTGCCTGAACTAGTATAAATCCAGCAATATCCATCCATTTCGAAAGTGCGCTTGATTCGGAGGCTTAGAACCAAAGGAACATCTTCCGGATCAATCACTTTCCTGACTTTACCTTCGATCCAAGTTTTTGATTCAAAATCGATTAAGTGATTCACATAAAGATTCAGATCTCTTAGGTTATCAACCCCGTTAGCGGGTCTCGCCGGAATAGCCAGGATCTGAGGGTCTGACCACACCCTCGTATTGAAGCCTGATTTTATTGTTTTGCGCAGGCCTAACTGCAGTAGCTGTTTTGTCGCCAACATGCTTCTCCATCCGTAAGAATGGGTGTTTGATTTTTCCACCTCGAGAGGGCTTGGGTAGCGATAATACCGCCCCTTCAAAATTCTTGCCAGTAGTAAACCAGGATACTGAATAAGCCACCATAATTGTTTTGCCAACAACGCTAAGTTGAAGTTAACTAGGTCCCAAAAGCCTAAACATCCTTGCTCTTGAGGGACACAAATTCTTTGCCAAGCTAGCCAGTGTAATCCACGATTATTTGCTTTGGAACTCCACCAAAATTTGGCGATTGCACTCTTTATCTTATTAGTAACATCGTGGGGGAGTAAAAAACATGACATAACATATGCTGGAATAGCTTGTGCCACCAACTTGATAAGTACTTCTTTGCCCCCTTTGTATAACAGATTTAGCGACCAGGAGTTAATTCGGTTGTTCAGGCGCTCTTGTATGTATGCGAGAACATGTTTTTTTTAGCCACAGATTCTCTCTGGAAGTCCCAGATACATCCCCATTCCGCCCTCTTTATGTATCCATATCGCTTGCTTTAGCTCCTGCTTACACTCAGGTTTGACTTTACTCCCGAACAAGATCGACGATTTGGTAAAGTTTAATTGCTTTCCCGAAGCTTGGCCATACACGTTGATAATCTTGAGAAGCTCTGCACATTGCAGGATATCTGCTTTACAGCAAAAAAGGCTGTCGTCTGCGATAGTATATGTGATATTGGTGGACTAGCTTTTGCTACACGAAGACCTGTAAGCCTCCCTTCCTCCTCTGCGCAACGAATTTGGCTAATAAGGCCTTCGGTAAGGATTATGAATAGAAAGGGAGATAGCGGGTCTCCTTGTCGTAAACCTCTCGATGGCTCTAAACAGCTTTTGGGGCTCCCGTTCAGCAAAATCTGGTAAGACGCTGATGAAATACATTTCATTATCCATTCCACCCATTTTTCTGCAAATCCCATCTTCAACATAAGAGCTTGTAGGAACTTCCATTCTACTCTGTCATACGCTTTGCTCATATCCGTCTTGATTGCAACAAATTTGGAGTTGCATATTGGGTTGGTCCTAAGAGCATGGAAGACTTCTTGAGCTATCAAGATGTTGTCTGTAATCAGCATCTTCGCCACGAAGGCGGATTGCGTTTCAGAGATAAGCTTAGATAGAATTTTCTTCAGTCTCTTGCAAAGAATATTCGAAATAATTTTATAGCAGACGTTACACAAACTTATTGGCATGAATTCTGTCATGTCTTTAGGTCTCTCTGTCTTGGGGATTAGACAGATATTAGTTTGATTCAGACGAGTATCGAGATCTCCCGTTACAAAGAAGGTTTTGACCATCTCCACCAAATCTTTCTCGATAGTGTTCCAATAACTCTGGAAAAATAAGCCTGTCATACCATCTGGCCCAGGAGCCTTATCCGGGTTTATCTCGAAGGCCGCTTGCTTGATTTCCAGATCCGTCGGTAACCTTGTGAGAGCAGTATTCATGTTCGGTGTGACTAGCTCTTTCATGTATTTCAATGCCTCGTTAAAATTTGACAGATTTGTAGAAGTAAAAATGCTCTTAAAATAGTTAGAAGCAACTTTCTCAATCCCGGATTCTGTTTCCCGCCACACTCCGTTGCTATCTTTAAGCTTTGTGATTCTATTTCTTGCTCTTCTTTGTTTCGTTGTGGCATGGAAAACCTTGGTATTGCGATCGCCCTCCTTTAGCCAGTTTGCTCTGCTTTTTTTGCTTTCAGTAGAGTTCTTTATCCTTGAAGACCGAGCACAGGAGCCATTTTAGATTAAGAACTTCTTTGAACGGTATAGCATCATCTAGCTGGGTTTTTTCCAGTAGTTCTTTAACTTCTTCAATCTTCTTTTCTGAGTTTAACGGGTTTAGTTTTTTCCACCTGGCTATTTCGTTACGACAGGCACTAATTTTCAGAAAGAGCTCGTTGTTGCATCCCTGTCAATTTACACCCCAGTCTTCCGCAACTGTCTCGAAAAATCCTTCTTTGTCCAGCCACTTTTTGTCAAATTTAAAACTTCTTTGACTGCGCACATCGCGCGATTGTATCCTGGCTAAACTGGTATGTGATCCGAGCCCCACAGTTTCAAATACTCCACATTAGTGTGGGAAAATTCATGGTGCCATTCTTCGTTTCCAACAGCTCTGGCCAGTCGGCATTGTATTCTTCCTGAGCTCCTATATCCGACCCACGAGAAAGGATTACCTTTGTAGGGGAACTCTATCATACCACAATTGTCTAGCATACATTTGAATGGGAGAAATGATGTATCAGCCCGTCTGTGACCACCTTTCTTCTTGTGGTTGCCTAAGGTTTCGTTAAAATCGCCAATCATGAACCAGGCGCCAGCACGCCTTAGGCTAATCCTCATAAGGCGTTCCCACATAGCCTTGCGATGCTCTATAACCGGGTCTCCATATACAGAGGTCATGAAGACCTTCTTGCCTTCAATTTGTGCTTCAATATCAATCATCCGGTTATTGGAGAACAAAATATTATCATCAAAAGAGTGCATATAAAGAAGAGTTAAACCACCGCTTCTCCCTATAGGATCCACGGTAAAGAGATTGTCATAACCTAAAGAAACTTGTAAATCTTGCAAAAAGGAAAAAGGTTTTTTGGTTTCAGAAAGAAAAGAAATTCAGGCCGAAAGCAGCGATGGAGTTCCTTTAGGTGTTGTTTTGTCAGTTCCGCTCCCGCTCCTTGGCAGTTCCAGAAAATTGTATTCAACATCTCGTACTGGATGATTTCTGGGATACCACCGAACCAAAAGCAGCAGAATTCTTTTTGTCCAGAGCCGAAGGCAGCACCTTAGTATGAGGGGTGTGAGAAGACTTCTTCGAGTTGTGACATAAGGTTATGTTTGTCTTCTTTTTTGGGGATTGACGACCACGCAGGACTTGAAGTTTTTTTTATCCTGGTGATCCTTCGTAATATGCACCTTTCGTAGCTTTCTATTTTATGTTGTTCTCCTTATTCAGATGCACCTTCTTCGGGGACTCCTTTGGGAGATAGCATCTATCTTATCTGCCCCCTCTTCTATTTCATCATCTAGCAGATCATCATTGTCCTTTAGCTCGTCGTACAAAGCCATTTCTTCAATTCTTTCTGAGAGTTTTTTTTCATATTCTAGGTCTTTTTCCTTCGTTTCTGGAGTATCATGGATCTCTTCTAGCATATCTTCATCATCAGTTCCTAGAGTCTTATTAGACTGGGTTATATTCTGACTAGCTCTGCTTCGTTTCTCTAGTACACTGATTACCAATGTATTGCTCCTGATTTAAGCCTTTCGTGTTGGAGGAATCACCATTAATCCATTCCTTTTTATTCTTCTAGTTCTTTCCTCCTCTGTTTCTCTTTTGTGAGTTACCAGAACTCCCGATTTTCTGGGTAGCTCAGTTCCAGTCAGCATGTGGACTTCTGAGATGGTGCTGGGAATCCGCACAAATTTTTTATCTCCTCCCTGTTCTCTATCAATCCTTGAGGATCACCCTTCCCCGGGGCCTTCATTTTCTTTCCCTTGTTCTCTGTTATTCTGCTGTCGTGGTCTCCATTCCATACGGGAATAACCTCTTTCCATAATCCTATTATGCTTGTCAGCAGTATTGTTTCTATCGCTATGAATCTTTTGGTATGGCTGAGCTCACTCCCGATACCGGGGAAGTGGTTCCATTGATAGGTCATCCACTCTGTTCCTGATATTCCTGCTATGTTCCTCTCTCCTTCCTTGTAGCTCTATACGGAGGTCTCTGGAGTCTCTTATGCCTCTGTTCTCTGGTCGTGCTCTATTTTCTGGCAGTGGCTTTATTGGCCCAAAATCTCCAGAATCTGCTCCGAAAGAGCTGCCTCCTCTCTTTGGTGATCTGATTCTTCCGGTAATGTAAGAATCTCGTGGGGGAAACATTTCATTGGCCGCCAATTCTTCTTTTTCTTTCTGCTCAATTCGATCCAATCTATTCCTTTCACGTTGATCATCAGTGAGAGCTGGACAAATCCCTTCTTCATGGGAGATCATCTTAGATGTGTAGCACCGATTAGAATCTATCTTTGTTTGATTAGTTGTAATTGTTGATTTTATTCAGAACATACTTCATTTAAATAATGTTTGTTTAATATTGTTCCATTTTTATTTTCATCTAGATGATTCATTTGAACAAAATATATTTGTTTTGTTAGTTTATATTTTCATCTAGATTATTTTACTAAAAAAATATCTTAAATATCTATACTTTCTTATAATCATATTTTTATTTTTCATTTTAGTTATATTTATTTTAAAAATTAATCTAAAATATTTTTCATTAGCCAAATAATTTTTAAATTATTATTTTTAACATTTCTAAATATTTTACACACATCAATTCATATGAATTTATAAATTAAGATCCAAATTTGTATTTCGATAGATTTTTTCTTCACAAATTTAAATTAGAAAAAGGAAGAAATATACAAAAAGATCATATCTGTTTAGGAGCAAATTTCGGGATGTCACGTGCGGATATATGATTTGTCCGGGGGTGGAGTATTCCTCCGAGTTTCGTCTTCTCGGGGAAGGGCGACGAGACGTTCTGGGACGGAAGTCTGCTTGAATCATGGGAACGGGGTGGTCGTCATAGCCGGTCCTGCAAACACTACATGAGAGGTCAATCAGGCCTTCGCGGAGACCGAAAGGGGGTTTCCCTCCCGAAGGTTCTCCGACGCCCAAGTCAGTGAGCATCCTACCGGGAACAAGTACTCAGGAGGGTGAATCTATGGGTTCAGAGTGAGAAGACCCGTCCGGGGATCGGGACATCTATTCTTTTGTGAGTGTTTCGTGAGGGGTTTCCTAGAGAAAGAGAGAGACGCGACACATATAAAGGCTAGGTTCCGGGTCGAGAGAGACTTATCCTGGAAGGCAATCACTTGGGGAACAATGGGTTCTCCCTTGATCATGTTGTATACCCCGGTCGATCTGATCGGCCTTTTGACTCTTACCTCCTCTTTTAGAGGGGTTCCCGAGTGACTCGTCGTCGGGGGTCCTCCCTATCCTTGTCTTATGATCCTCTCCCTTTTATACTAGTTTCCTCTCCATCCTATCACTTCCATTCGGCGTGGCAGAGGAGCAGGCGGACTGAAGATTCTAGCGTGTTTGGAGAAGCTCGCAACTGCTCCAGAACAGTATCCATGAGTGGTTCGCCGAGCTAGTCTGACGCGTGTCAGTGTTTAGGGCAGTTCGTCGTCCACGTGCCGGACTCGTATTCGGGCGTGGTAAAATCGGTCCCAACAATTGCCCTTGAATTCTCGACTGATTGGAAAATGAGTCGGAGAGTCGCTCTTGCCTTGACTTCCTGCACACAGAACATGGGTTATCTGATTCCCTAGAGGTTTTGCCGCTTGTGGGCTATATAGATGCGGCGACCGTGCTGCGTATCACAAGGGATATGGTACTGGTATAGGCAAAGCTAAGTTATTAAAGGTAGTAAAAATAGGGACTTATCATCCCCGCGCCGTGCACCCTGATGAGGTACGATACTAGCTTGATGGTCCAGACTTCCGGGGAAGTAGGGAGATGGGTGTCAACTCCGGCCTCGCCACATATCGTAGGCGGATACGGTTCTTGTCGGAGGAGTGAGCCAAAGGAAATTCTCAACCCTGACCTTGTTCGTATGTCCCGGAGGAGCACGTTATCAGTTAATAGAGCTACACTTCCGGAGAAGCGGGCCATGGGGCGATTTTGATAGATGTCAACTCCGACCTTATTCGCATCCATGGGAGTACATTATTGGTCGAAGTAATTACGCTTCCGGGAGAAATAAACCGTAAGACGGTCAGACTAGATACATATAGAGACTCGCCCAGTCTACGCTACGCAACCAAAGAAGTACGCCGTTCGGCCGGGGGAGCAAAGTGATGGGGCCCTATCCTGATTGGGGCGCGTATCCGGGGGAGTACGACGCTTGCTCAAGATAGGAGGATATTGTCGTTCTGGGGAAACTGATAGATTGGCCACTGGTTGACATCTTCCCAGGAGGGATTTTACTTCTTGCTTCGTGAGACACTAGACAAGAAGCTTTCTTGCCCCCTCTCATCGGGGTCATAGTGAGGTTATAGTCTTATGTGACCATGGGGATCAACATAAGATAATGACGCGGGCTAAGACACCGGCCCAAAGACCAGAGGTGGCGCCGTTGGACATATGAATAAATTTTCCCTGCATTGCGGGGCGCTAACGCAAGGAGGAATCGCTACTCGAATGCAACTAGTGCGGAGTATGGGGTTTCCCGAGGGTGTTACCTCGACTCCCTTACTGCCAGGACAGTCTTCGCGTTGTGCTTACGCGGAAGTTTTTGGTTTTTGAGAACGTGCTTGTGACGTACCCCGGGAGGGAAGAGGTCGGAAAATTATCAGGAGGAGAAGACCTGCGAGTCGGGGACCTCAATTCATGTGGTGCCTGAGTGGCAAGCATGTCCTAGTGAGTAGCACATTGGTTTGTCGCACGGTCCACTAGGGGGGACTGGCGAGGAAGACCTGGAGGTCTGAGAGGCCGGAACCTCGGAGTCCCGAAGGGAAGATGCCCCGGAGGGCAAGCAAGTCCAAGGGGGAGCATGCTCGGGATATATGCTGTCCCCGGAGGGAGCTGATGCGAGGGGGACAGCACGCACACCAATTTGGACCAAAGTCCTGAATTCCTGGGGGAATGGTGTCTCGGAAGACGAGCAAGTCCGCGAGGGAGCATGCTAGGAAAGAGGGGTGAGAAAGATGCTGAACAGGACAGTTGAGCGATGCGAGTGGGGCCGGTCGTTGTCATACAGGTGGGAAATCAAGCAATCAGACAGGCGGGAAATCAAGCAATCAAGCAAGCAAGAAATTAAACAATCAGGCAAGCAAGAAATCAAACAATCAGGCAAGCAAGAAAACAAGCTATCAGGCAAGCAAGAAATCAAGCAATCAATTAAGTAAGAAGATGACTTTGCGGGCTGGGGTCCTTCTAGGGACAGACACATTTCGTCAATGCTCACGGATTCTGTAAGACCCGCCGCGAGGCTCAAAATGCATGGGCGGTTACGTTTGATCCGTGCGCACGGCCCTCGTGCAACCGGTCCCTAGGGCCAACCTTGTCCCCGAGGGCAGATGACGGTTACCATGTAAGGGTGCGAGTTTCATACCATTGCGACTGCTTGTCAGTCAAGTTCCCATGGTTTTGTTAGATTGGTAACTATTGCTTTGGGCCTTCTCGAACGGGCCTTGGATGTCGGGTGAGTGCAGTCCACGTGGCGAACCTCCGATGGCTCGAAGCACAGCGCGTCAAGTCGCACAATGTGCACCACTCTTCGAGAACTACCGGTTGCTTCTGTGCTTCTACAGGCTGATGTCTCTTTCTCAATAAATGCACGTCACTTCTAACGCACAGCTCGAGAGACTAACAATCACGAAATTGTCATCGCCCTTTGGCTTTCCCCGACTAACGCGATTCCTCTGGCGTGACGCTTCGGTTTCTGGTTTTTCTATAAAGCTGTGAAACCCACATAAGCGCGGTTTCATCCTGCTTCCGAAGCAAACCACAAACTTCTTTTCTTCTCAAATTTCTCTTTTTTTGCCACATATCCCTCTTCTCGTTCATATGAGTTGTCGGCCTCAAGTTCATCGTCTAGCACGAGTGGCGTGCTCGCTTCTCCTGGTCTGGAGGCAAAGTCGAGGATATCGCTGGGATGCCCTCGGCGTCTCACCCTGTCGACCGTCCTCCTTCGACTTGCATGCCGGACTCACTGGAAAGGGTCCTGTCGACAAACTTCCTTTACTCTTCTGGCCTCAATGCCACTTTTCCTGGTCCATTGGACCGGGCCGACCATCCTCTGCGACGCTGCATCGCGATCCACGATGACTACATCTTGTACAGCTTCTGAGGTAACCTCCCTCGGAAGGTGGTCGACTTCTGTCGGTTTGTTTTTATCTGCCAGCCAACTCCATCCTTCCGCGTAGGGGCTCCTGTGTGCCTAACAGGTCCTGTCGGACCTGTCTAAAATCTGCGTCTGTAGCTCCACAGTGCTGCTGTCGTATCAGTTCTAAAACCTAACCGCTGACGCACTCCGATACACCCAGCACACCAGGGACGGATGCGCCTCCCCCATCCATTGGCGGAACGGTACATCTTCTGGACAGTGCCGGAGGAGATCAACGTCTAGCTCACCTGGTGTCCACGGGGTAGGGTTTCCATATAGCCACTTTTCCCTTTTCTTAGACTATCCTCTTATGAACTATCTTTTGACTGTCGTTTCTAGTTTCGTCAGGCTCCGCGATCTTGTTGACCTTCGAATGGGTTGAGCTACACCGGCTGCTTGGGATGAATGAGCGTTTCAGGTCATTCGACTTCCTGCTTTCTCCGGCGAGCATCGGGGCGAACTCACTCATCTTCCCGTCCAGCATGACGGAAGACATCTCAGGTACAGATCTCGACTTCCCAGTGCTGAACCTGTGCCAACCCTGTGGTTCTCACATGTGGACTCTACCTTGACAAGTTCTCGTGATCGGATCGAGAAGATCTGGGACCTCTACGCCCCAGACGGTCGCTTGCCAGGCTGACACAAAGCATGCAGAGGACGCCTGTCCAGACGCCACGCCGAAGACCTCGGGCTGAAGCACCTCTCCGAGTCCCCTGCGGTGAGAGCAACGTGGTCTCCTGGTCGTTTGCCTGTCCATCCCGATGCTGCCTCCATGCACTCTGATAATTATGCCAGCGTGGAGGCCCTGAGCGATGCGGTTACTCCCCAATACCTAGGGATTATGGAGGCTTCCAGAGTGGCGCAAGCGGCTACCCCGACCCCTGTCTCGCCGAGCTCGTTGAAGGCGATGAACGTGTCTTCAGAGTCAGAGCCGATGTTCATGCCCCCTCGTCCGACTGCTCCTTCGACTCGTGAGCTCGTCAGATGGCAGCTGACCGCTTCAGATCTCACACGCTCCCTTGACGCTGTAAGGCTCTTCCCTAGAACTGCCCCCGCTTCGGAGCTCACACGCTCCCTTGACGCGGTAAGGCTCTTC